GATCACGCGAAATCGTCAACAATCTAATCCAGCTAACTTACTTAGCGAGGTACGAAGAACGGGCCCCAGATAACTAAATCTAAAAATTAAACAACCATAGATCTTTCATCCTGTATGCTCGCACTACAGTCAGCTGATTTCAGCACAAGATAGCATGCTAGAATAAAGCTAATGAAAAACTGAAATTTATGTTAAAGACGAGTGCATGCTAAACCCAGCTCAGCAGCAGAGCCTGAACTTCAATAGGTGTCAAAAGCAATTATGTGTCAAGTAAGGCTGTGTGCAGGCAGGAGTGGAATGGTGGACCCAAAGTGCAGATTCTTGGAGACGAAAAAGGTGAACTCAAAAACAGCTTTAATGCTGAACCGGACCTAAAACTAAACTGAAAAAATACCCCAAAAAACTAACCAGGCTAGCAAACAGAACACACAGTACAGAATGAAGGTAGATCACGACACAGACAAAGGATAACACAAAGCTTATACACAGAGGGCACAATCAGGGAATGGGAAACAGGAGGGAAACACAGCTTCGACAAATCAGGGCTAACAAGACAAGAGAAGCCAAACCGAATACATTAACATGAGACACGGACCTTCACAGTAAAATACGGACTGAACTCACAGACACAGACTCACAAGCAGACACTGCAACAGAAGGAACAGAGATGTGAGACCAGGGGAGACACAGACACCGACTGGACACAGAACAGAGGGAGTATGGAAACCAAAACTTAAGAACTACAAAATCACACACCAAGAACAACTGGAGAAAATAGAAATGTGAAACAGAAACCAAAACCTTCACAGTGATAAACCAAGATGAGAACACATAAAGGTAAAAAACTGAAAACACTGGGTCAACAACGCAGGTACTCTAAAATTATGAGCACTTAGGCTTTCAGCGTTGTAGCTTCCATTTCTACCCGGCGGTTCCATGGCAATCAAAGTCTCTTTTGCTGTTTTTTAACTTTGCTTTGTGTTGTTGTTGTTTTTTGTTCATGTGTAAACTAAAGGAAAAGTCATATGTGCATCTTGGTTAGGAAAGGGATTTCTGTCGGGATTTTTCTTTTTTTAATAACGACTCCAACACTACATATTGACAATGTTCTCTTTCTAAAAAATATCAAGGCCTTGTAGAAAGTAGGATCAAAAGTTGGGGTAAACAACATGAAAGCACTGATCCATTCTTTATCAATGGTTCAAGCTGCTTGGGGTGGTGCAGTGGTGTGAGGAATAATGCTGTCATGTTAAAATGGACCAAGATCTGTGGAGAATGTTTCCAGCGCCTTTTTGAATGTATGCCATGAAGAATTAAGGTAGCTCTAAATGCAAATGGGGTCCAATCTAAATGTAATACAGTAATCATACATTTCTAATAGAATATATGATTTTACTTGAAAAAATACTAAATCAAAACTAAATCTGTTGGTACAGTAGTAAACTGCTATAACTTGTTTTTAAACTTTTCAGCTTTCTGGAAGATTCTCATGGAGGGCCCTCCTGAAACTCCTTATGAGAATGGAGTGTTTGAGCTGTTCTGTCAGTTTGGTCCTGAATACCCAGTGAAGCCTCCAACTGTTCGCTTTGTCACACGCGTATCCTGCTAAATAAATAGTGTTTTAAAAAGCTTTTTATAACTGCTTTCTTGCAAACATAAAGTTTTAACAACATCACTTTAGAATGTTACAAACCTATTTTAAACGTACTTTACAAAGTATTATAACACATATTACAACATGTACAATTGTACTTTTATTTTCTTAACATGATTAAAGATATACCATTGCAACATTAACAATGTAGGGCGTATCTGCCACAACATTTTTGACCGGAACTACAATGCCCAAATCACCATGAGAGAAATCCTCAATGCCGTGTTTGGATTACTGATCATCCCTGAGCCGGAAGATCCACTGGACAGGTAAGATGGCAACCCTTATACACCTGTTCTACAACTAGTGCAGCAGATGACTTAATATTATGAGATCTTTCACTGTTGGATAAAAATACTAAAATGTTTACTCTTTCATGATTATTATTTTGATGAAGGCCAATAACAATTTGAAAATTCAAGAGGTGGATTAAGCTTCATCTGTCTATGTATGTACTGGCCATAATTATAACATTAAATCAACTCTATGGAATGATCTCTATATTATAATTCCTGCCTGAGGGGTGGGGAAACATAATTCGAGCAAATAATTTCATTTCCCGGCGCAATTAAATTCCTCGCAGAGAGTTTCGCAAGACTTTCTCCTTTGCTCGCGTTGCAGCAGGTTCACGCTTGAGCGATTCATCTGCTTGCAACGGTCACTTTTGCTCGCTAAACATCACTTTGACTTTCGACAGTTTGGAGGCGGAACCCAAAGTAAGCCAGGGTCCTAATGTGATTGCTCACTTTGATGGACACTTCAGGGACTGCGTTAAAGTGAGCTACAATGTGGCAGAAACAAACAGAAACGCTCTTTTAAAGCGTATTTGTTTACAAAGTTTCCCCACAGATATCGTTTGATGTGCAGCAGTGGAAATACAGATTACTGTCACTGGATTACTTTAATGTTGAAGAAATACTTTAAACCAGAGGATTCTAACCCTAGTTCTGAAGCCTTCTGAATACAGGTTTAAACCTGCAAACAAAAAGTTGCTCAGTCTGCAGCAACAACTTGATTTTTTTCTAACAAAAAAAGTGTGAAACTTAAGTTGTGTTTGTAAATGAACTGCCCCATGTTGTGTAGCTTTCTGGATTGTATAATTATTGAGCTACATATTTATTTATTTATTCACACTAAGAACATCTTAAAAAACAGTAATATTCTGGCAGTTGGGGTGCCAAAATAATACCTTAAAATAACAGAAAATAACTTTCTCATAAAAATACGGTTATTTTCAGTAATGAAAATACAATTTGTTGCCCTATTTTTACATGGGATTTTGCCTTTTCCAAGTGCTTTTAGACATTAAATTAGGAACATTTTAATGTGGGTAAACAATGAAATTACCTATAAGCAAGGTCAATGAATGTGGCAATATGAATAATAATGCTTAAATTTACAGAAATATACAGTTAACAGTTGGGTTAAATAACATTATTTGAAGTAAAAAAGTTGTATATTCAATTATATTTGATGTAATACTACATTATACATCACAAAATAATTTGATTTATCTATTAAAATATGTCAAAAAACTAGATATTGGCTGTTAATTTTACATAATATCACATGTAAATTTATATTTTAAGTGTAATTTAACATAAATTTCCTGAATATTTACTGGACTTTCAGTTTGAATTAAGTGTGCTCCCTGTAAGATTGTGGGTTTTATCTGTCACAAAGCACCCAAAGAACCCTTATTAACTCATTCACTGCCAGCCATTGGCAGTGAATGAGTTAAACCCATTGACTCATTCACTGCCATTGACGTCTATAGACGTCAATGGCAGTGAATGAGTTGAACAAAACCCCTGATTATAATTACATCAAGATTATGTTAATTCTTGATCATATGTTGTGTATGAGCAGTTTGTAGATGTTTATTTTACTTATAAAACATGAGACATTGTTTCAATCATTAACATGGGTTTTTTTGACAAAAAGATAACCCTTCCTGGAACAATTCAAGAAACACTAACATTTATGCATAAACAAAGGCACGTAGAAAAAAGAATGTAATGCAAACGCACATTTGAGCACAAAAGAAGGGGACGATGCCACCTCGAACGTTCATCTGCCTCCCCACACCTGGAGCAACGAAAAGGGGTATATTTGAGGCACATAACCTGCAGGTTTAGAAGTAGCTTTAGCTTTCTCAAAGTCTCACATTCAGGGCTGCTGCTGGCCAATTGGGTTCCCTTGGAGAAATTTGCAAAGTAATCATATGCAAAGAACAACTCGAGTAAAACAAAAGCCTCATTGTTATGCTGATTATACTTAACTTATAAGTATTGATATGTTGTAAGTTGTCACTTTAACACAACCTTTTACCAAAATAACTGAAAGAATGGGACTGTGTTTGCAGAGCAAGCACCACAAGTGTCAATGTATAGCCTATTGCAATGAACTGAGATGAAGATAATACTTAAGACAATGCTACACCTAAAGCAGGACAGAGTGACAGAGAGCCTGTCAGCAGATAGTAACATACCAACTGGCTAGCACTAATGCTAGCTAAATGTGAATAGGATTTGCAGCCTATATTTCACTTTTCCCCTATCAAGCGGGCCACCCGTGCGGTTGACATTGACCATGAACCAGAGACCAGTGTTACTGAACAACAGATATAGTTATCCTCAGGATAAAAATAAGAACTTTAATGCTCTCCACTCATAGTCCGCAATTTTGGCGATCAACGTCAGAACCTTTGAATCGACAAAATGAGCTGCTTTAGAAAAACGGTCAATGATAGTCAAAATGACAGAGTTACCTGACGAACGCGGCAAGCCCGTGACGAAATCGACAGCTATGTGGGACCAGGGGCGGCTAGGCGTAGGCAAGGGCTGAAGGAGACCAGAGGGGGGTTGATTGACACATTTGTTCCGAACACAGACTGAAAAGGCTGCTACGTACTCTCGGACATCCTTGATGAGGGAGGGCCACCAAGCGAAGCGCTGAAGGAGTGAAACGGTGCGGAGGGTCCCCGGGTGGCAGGTGAATTTTGCTGTGTGCGCCCAATTAGGGCTGGGCCATATTATACCATTCACGGTAATACCGGTATAATGTTAGGCAACGATAGGAAAATGAAATATCGCGATATAATATATTAGTAAAACGCGCATGCGCAGTGCCTTTGTTTTCATATGCACATGGCCGATTATTGAGTGTAACAGATGAACCAGAATTGGTTTGTAAAAATGGTGCAACTTCAGTGATGTGGAACTGGTTTGGTGTTTGTCCGTCAGATACACGACAAAGCACATTTTTTTGCAGAACATGCAAGCGGCCGTCGTTATTGTCGTATTTGTCGGACTAAGATGCTCTTAAGTCTTGGTGTAATCTGGGGCCTAAACTCTGTATCCTTCAGGTCAAACGAACACTGCAGCATCACTGAGAGTTAAAAACTGTCTAAATTCTTTCATCTTTAATAAAACGATCAGCATTGCTGCTTTACCAGGTGTAACTATGAAGTTTAACTTCCAGGCATCCATGAAAACAAAAT